TCTGCCACCACTGGAGTTGCTCACTGGTATGTATTGAAACCTTGTGCATTTTTTTTCTGATTTGATGTTGCCGCCTGTGGCCACCACCAGCCACCACCAGAGGATTACTGCTTCTTTGACTAGCCAGAAAAGTTGAACATCACACAAGAACAAAACTGAGGTTAGTTTTTTTTCTTCTAATTTTTATTGAAATTGAATTTGAATTGTGTTGAAATTGAAATTGAATTGTGTTGGAATTTTTATTGAAATTGAATTGTGTTGAAATTGAAATTGATCCTCCTTTGATTATATAATTGTATTGTTTGTTTTGTATATATATGTGATTGTGTTGTTGTTTGTTTAGGTTTATACTTTAAACAAACTAATTGTATGAAATTGATATTGTTTAGGTTGGTATATGAAATTGTATGAAATTGATATTGTTTATGTTGGTATATGAAATTGTATGAAATTGATATTGTTTAGGTTGGTATATGAAATTGTATGAAATTGATGTTGTTTAGGTTGGTATATGAAATTGAAATTGTTTAGGTTGGTATGAAATTTTATGTGATCTTTGTTTAGGTTGGTATGAAATTTTGTATGATTGTGATCTTTGTTTAGGTTGGTATAAAATTTTATGTATAAAATGTAAAATATGTATGGTTGTGTTTAATTTGTTTAGTTATTAATAGCAACATACTTTTTTTTATCTTTTTAATAAAAGTATTTTATTTTCATTTCTATTTGAAAGTTATAACATAAAACAAAATAATAAAATTACGTTGTTATTAAAAGTAATATTAAAAGTATTTTTTATCTTGTTTATGGTGCTATAAAAAAAAATATATTAAAAGTATTTTTTATCTTGTTTATGGTGCTATTAAAAGTAATATTAAAAGATCATAAATAATTAAAGGCATTGGCGAGTCTATGTATATAAAAGATGGGTCACTTGACCAAGTTTTTTTCATCTATTATTATAGGAGATCATAAATAATTAGAAATTGTGACGTCTCTTAAAAATTTGGAATTTGAAATGAACCATCTTAATGTTTTAAACAAACTAATAAACTTTAATGTCAATATACAAGATAAAAATAAACAAAAAAAAATAACAAAATAATATTAAACTAATAAAAATATGTTTATTAAGTCAAAAATATTTAAACTATAAAAGTTATTAATACCAACATATTTTTTTTATCTTGTTAATTAAAGTATTTTATTTTCATTTCTATTTGAAAGTTATAACATAAAACAAAATAAAATGTATATATACTACAAAAAATATTTAATTAAAGTATTTTATTTTCATTTCTATTTGAGAGTAAAGTTTATTAAGTAAAAAATATTCAAACTACAAAAGTTATTAATAACAACATACTTTTTTTATTTTGTTTATTAAAGTATTTTATTTTCATTTCTATTTGAGAGTAAAGTTTATTAAGTAAAAAATATTTAAACTACAAAAGTTATTAATAACAACATACTTTTTTTATTTTGTTTATTAAAGTATTTTATTTTCATTTCTATTTGAAAGTTATAACATAAAACAAAATAATAAAATCACGTTGTTATTAAAAGTATGGTGCTATAAAAAAACAAAAAAAACAAAATAATATTAAAAGTACAATGCTGTAATTGAAAAAAAAATAAACAAAATATAAAAAATATAATATTAAAAGTACAATGCTGTAAAATGTTTTTCATTAAGAACAAACGTTACTAATAGCAACATAAAAGAAAATATAAAAATATTTAAACTAATAAAAGTATGTTTATTGAGAGTAAACAAAATATAAAAATATTTAAACTAATAAAAGTACATTTATTGTAATTATGTATACAATCTAATTTTTTATAATTAAACAGTAATGACGATCGATAAGAGTTGGATTCGGGAACACCGAACGTCCCCAAAATTCTTGGAAGGTCTTAAAAACTTTATGGAGATTGCTAGGAAACATGTTGACTTTGAAGACAAAGTGCATTGTCCGTGCGTAAAGTGTGTGAATATGTATCGACAGTTGTTGAGTACGGTTTATGCCCATATACATGACTGTGGGTTTCTAAAATCGTATACTATATGGATTTATCACGGTGAGAAGCATTCTGTTTCGGATTTGGGCTACAATTCGACTCCAATAAACATTCCAACAAATAATGAGATGTTTGATGTAATTGATGATGTTATGGCGGAACAAAATACAAATGAAGAAAATACAGATGATGAAGGACGAGGCATGGACCCAGAATTTGATGCTTTATTTGAGGAGCTCAATACCAAGTTATACCCTGATTGTGAGATGTCTTCTTTAAACTTTTTGGCAAAGTTGTTGCATATTAAGGTGATCAATAAATGGACAAATAGTTCATTTGACCAACTTTTAGAGTTGCTAAGAGTTGCTTTCCCGAAGAGCAAGATTCCAACTTCACACTATGAAGCTAAGAAAAAGTTGAGAAAGATAGGGTTAGGATATGAGTCCATCCATGCTTGCAAATATGATGGTACACCATTCTATGGTCAATTAGAGGAGATTATAGAGTTGCATTATTTATATGATAAATCAGTTGTACTCTTTCGTGGTAAATGGTTCAATGCGTCATTACGTAATGGACGTTTACAAACTATAAATAACATGGTTCTTATCGATACCAGTCATGAATGGTATGTCGGTAAAACGTGGTATGATGATCAACAATACATCTTAGCCACACAAGCAAAACAAGTATTTTATCTCCAAGATCCTACTAAAAACGATAATTGGAGAGTTGTGGAAGAGGTTCATCATCGGAAACTTTGGAATCATCCAAGTATCGATGTTGTGAATGAGATAGATGTCGTGAATGACACTCAATCAACTGATTTTACCTTGGTAGTCGACTTAGGCACCTTGCCTATGCAGACGACTTTATGTGAAGTTGGTAAATCAAGTGTGGTTGCTAGGAGGAATGTTGCTCCTACTATAAACGATGACGATTTCATTAATGATGACAATGACAATGGTGATACGTACTCTTCAGATGAAGAAATAAATAATGAAAAATATGACAGTGATGATGATGTTGTACATGTATATTGTTCTAGTGATGAATCTGATTGACGGTATGTCGTAGTTATTATATATTCTGATTGCTTATAATATTTGTTAAATTTTCAAATGTTGCTTATTTATAATTAGCTTTATTATATATTCTGAATGTTTATAATATTTGTTAAACAGATGGCAGAAGTCGCGAGGGGACATGGAGGAGACGGTGGGGATAGACCACCACACGGGGGAGCACGCGGTGTACCATCGGGTTGCCAATCTTGTAAGTAACATGAAATTTTTAAGTATTAGATATATTAAAGTTTTAAATTTCTAAATTTTCAATTCTATATGTAAATGTAGCACAAGCAAAGAATGTGAATGTGAAGAAGCGTGGCAAAGGGAGAAACTTAAATTTTTACTATGAGTATGAAAACAACAAGTGTAACCCTTTGGATTTGGATATTGATATCTCCGGGCGGACGTACTGATTTGTGGGGGACAACGGGCAAATGTTTGTCAGACTGATCTCAAATCTGGTGGGATCAAAGGTACCGTTGCATTATCATACTTGGCGTCGTGTTCCTATTGATTACAAAAATGGTTTATATCCCGAGCTAGAGGTAAGTATACAATATATTTTATATGTATTGAATTTTACACTTATTAAATATTTTTTTACTAATCAAATATGTTTTTCCTTTTGCAGACTTATTTTGATATCAATAGGTACCGGGGCACAGACTTGTGGGAACCCCTTCGAGCGGGTATCCAAGCAGACATGCAAAGAGCTTATCGAGACCGCAAGCATGATATGAAAAACCATTTTGATAGAGTTGGTGGATATCATGATGTGGAAAGGGCAAGAAGATGTCCACCGACTGATTGGTCTGCCGAAGCTTGGAACAAAATGATTGATTTGTTATTTTTAACTGATGAATACAGACGCACGTCGGACAAAAATAAAATTTGTAGGTCGAAACTTCCGCACACAAGTGCTCACGGATGTAGACCCTATGCTCAACGACGTTATTTAGAGGTAATAAAATATTATAGTATTAGTTAAATGTGTTATTAACATTTGTATAAATATATTTATTGATTTCACTTATTATAGGAAAAAATGGGAATGAAGCCGCAACATATTGAGGGTTGGAGACAAATGCGCTACAAAGAAGGTTCGGGTTGGTGTACAAGTCGAGCACAAGAAGATTGGGTAAGTGATAAACGAAATGAATGTGTTGTTTAAATATATTATTATTATTAATTATAGTTTTTTTGTTTAAGGAATATTATTATTATTTTAATGTTTAAGTTTAGTTGTTTGTTTTAATTAACGTATGTTTATTGTTTTCTTTATTTTAGGACAAAATTCAAGAAGAATATGAGAAAATGCAAAGCGAGGTTGGGGAAGGCGGAATAGTAGACGAGGAAGAATGTTTAGAACGTGCCCTTGGGACGAGAAGCGGGCATGCTCGCAGGGTGGGTAGGAGACCAACCGCCAACTTCGGTTTAATTCCAAATGAACGATGTTCCACTTCAAAATCGTCCCAATCTCAACCCCAATCTCAATCCCAATCTCAATCCCAATTTGATGCACAACAAATGCAAGAATACTTGCAACAATATAATGCATCATTGGCGGCATGTATTACGGGCTTCCAATCACCTCCATTTCCTAACTTTCTATTCAACTCTAACACACAAGCAAGTACCTCTCAACAAGTTGCTGAAAGGATGGAAGAAGAAGGAGAAGAAGGAGAAGGAGAAGAAGGAGAAGGAGAAGAAGGAGAAGAAGGAGAAGAAGAAGAAGAAGGATATGATTATGATAATGATGTTTGATGTTTTTTTTAGTGATTTGAACAATGTTAGTTAACTACTAGACTTCAATTTAAACTTGAATTTGATGTTTTGAATTTGAACAATGGTACTTAGTTAATGCATTTTAAGTGATATATGTTGGAATGTGTTTTGGATTTGTTAAAAATGCAGGAATGGTAATGTACTAAATTTGTAAAATAGAAAAAAAAAAAAAACAAACAGTACCTATCCCGACGACATGTCGTCGCTATAGGTATGTCATTGGCTCCTGTTAAAACCCTATAGCGACGACTTGTCATCGTAATAGATTAAACCTGTGGCGACGACGAGTCGTCGCTAAAGGTTTGCCGACGACAAGTCGTCGCTATAGGTAATTAATAAAACTTTATTTTTTAACCCCGAAAATATGATTGACGAACTCTATCCCGACGACTAGTCGTCGGAATAAGTGACGCTATCGCGACGACATCTATACCGACGACTTTATTGACCTATACGGTATACCGACGACAAGTCGTCGGGATAGTGTCCGAAATTGTCGTCACCATAGGGTTTTATTGTTGTAGTGGTGGGTGTGTAGCCCACACATATCATATTATTAGAGATCATTCAGAAAATCTAAAATTTAAACGTTAAACAAAATTTAAAATCAAGACAAAAATATTTTTTTAAAAACTCTTTTTGAAAAAATCATAACTTTATTTTGCATTTTAGAGTTCAAAAAGTTATCCAATTATTTAGGTTAGATCTATTGTTTCACGGCCCTCTGTTGTTCCTCCTCCCTACGCCCAACAATTCTACGCTCAACGCTATCAATGCAGGTATATTTTCCTCCTCGCATCTGCTTGTAGAGTCTATTTAATTTCACCTTATATATACAGATATATATAACATAATAGGGGTCAATACATATCGCCAGAAGGCAATCTTATATTGTTTTGTCTATTTGATCTATATGTCCTTAGTCCAACTATGTTGCCCTAATTTGATCTCAGTTTTTGCACTTAATTAATTTCCAGGTGTTCTAATCACTTTATTTTGGTTAATCAAACCAGTATTTGCATTTTAAAGTTAGTAAATTTGCAATTTTGTTTGCAAAATAAGCTGTTGTGATGTGTTTTGTTGACAACCATTGAAATTGATATTTTATCTGCCAGTGCCCATTCTTACCTTTTATAGGTGGTTAGAAGTTGGTACTCATGGTATAGTACTATGCGTTACATTTCCTCCTATCAATGTTGTAAAGGGTCTTGTAAACATAATCAGTAGGCTATCGTCTCATAATTACAAACAGAATCTTGGGAACGAAGTTTTTATCATGTGTTATTTATTTTCCTTTTGCAAGTGTAGGAATGGCCAAGACAAGGAGTATGACCAGAAACCAGAATCATGATTATGATGCATCATTATCATCATCTAGCAGGAACACGAGTTTTGACAAGGATCATGTAGGACCTTGGTCAGATGTTAATCATGACGTGCTTTTTCTAGTTATGATGCAACTAAGAGTTGTTGATTTTATTGCATTCAGAGGAGTTTGCAAGTCATGGAGGTCATTTGCAGTATCTAAGAGTAGCATGTTTTTGGCGTCTAAACCACCCATGAAGATAAGTATCAATCCCCATGCTAATAATCAAGACTGCTACATCTACCTGAAGGAGGACTTTGAAGAGCCAATGTTTAAAACCATCCTTCCCCATTCAGCTGGCAGGATCTGTATTGGATCAACTTGTGGTTACCTGATCTTGTTCAGTAGTGAAACCCGTGACTTCTGGCTTGTGAATCCAATCACAAGGCATGAGCTTCATTTCCCTGATTTCCCATTATGTGTTGCTGATCTGCCTACTCATGAAAAAGAAATGAGGACTATCAAGGGTATCCTTGTCTTTTCACCTTCAATATCGGGGCGGGTGTTTGTTGTGTTAAGTTCAAAATTATCGCTATCTTTTTATATCGCGGGTAAACCAGGATGGAATCATGTCTCCTCTTCTCTCCCCATCGTTGATGTACATGTTTTTAAAGGGAAGATATATACTCTACACTCTGATTGTTCTTTAGGTGAACTTAGACTCAATCTGAACTCAAAGTGGAAGGGAAAATGGATGTTACTTAAAACAAAGAGTTTTCCGAAGCCAGACTTGTACATTCTGCAACTTGTGAGTTCAAATGAAAAGCTTTTAGTGATAAATTGGGTTTCAAAACAGAAAATTTTCATGGAACTAGATTTTGGGAAATGAAATGGGTGTCGCCAAAAAAGACAATACAAGGATGTGCAATCTTTTATAGCAGCTTGACGTCTCGTGGTGTTATTAAACCTGAGTCATGGATACGACACAAGCGCTATGGTCAAGGTGTGTTCCGTTGCGAAGGGATGTGGTACTTCCCCAATGATTGTTTGAATGTTAATCTATTAAATGAGTGATGATTTCTTAATTACCACTCTTTATCTTTCTTTCTTTCTTTCTTTCTTTTTCTTTATTTTTAAATTTTTTTGAAGTATTAAATTTCCATATAGAACACTTTTAAGATGGTAAGAAACACCATCGGTGTATTTGCATCTTGTAACTTATTATCGTTGTACTTTGAACATGTGACTCACTTATGGGCTCTTAACACTCTATTACTTTTCACCAAGTCCTCAAGTTCCAAAGCTGAATTCTTTATTTTCTTCTTTGGCATACACATCGTGACAAGGTGTTTCGGAGGAAGCAAAGTTGGTGGACATGGTGACTTTTCCCACATCTTTCTCCCATTTATTGGCCCAATTTTGAAAGAGTAGATCTCCTTCTACATTTGTAACCAACAAGAAAGGATCACCCAAGTTTCATGTGTACATATGTCCTTACTGTTCTTCCATATGTCCCATATGGCAACAATAGCAAGTTTGCATGGAATCCTAGTTAGTTTCCACTTCTTACATGAGAATGTTTGTTGACCCACATCCACAACATATTGGTCCAACCAAGGCGCACCTATATGGTACCTTCAATTTTCCAAAGCTAGACTTGTTTTATCTGGAGCTTGTAAGTTTATGTGAAAACCTTTATGTGATAAGTCACTATTAATCACCGTACAAGGTTATTCAACAAGATATTGACGAAATGAAACGGGTGCTGCCTGAAAAGACAATAGGAAAATATGCTTTGTTTCTTGACCGGAAGAAGTCTTTTGCTCCGGATGGGCCAGAGCTATACAAGAGCTATGATTACTTCCTTGACAATAATGAAAGTCGACAACACATGTTCTATTGTTATAAATTCCGTCATGATTGTTTGAATTTTAATCTCTCAGATGAGTGACGACTTCTTAGTACTGTTATCTTTATTTTGATTATGGAAACTATAGAATTCCTATATTAAGAACATTGTCAAGACGTTAAGGATTGTTATATTTGTTTTGATTATGGACACTATAGAATTCCTATATGTAGAACACTGTCAAGACATTAAGGATCACCGGTGGTGTATTGAATCTTGTAACTTATTATGTAAAGAGTGTGGTTGTCATATACTCTTTTACTTAGGGTGGGCACTCTTATCTTTGCTTTTATTAAGGACTATAGTCCCGAGACAATCTATAAAGTGCTTCACATGTCAAGACCTTCGGGGTAAATAAATTATGTGTATGAATATATTAGAATGTTTTTATTATTCAATTTCAGGTTCAAGAATTTTATTGTTCTTTATTAATATTCTAATAGAAAAACATTCTGACAAAACATTATCATAGGACATCATTCTGACGGAATAACATTATGACAGAATTAAAATCGAATTAATTAAAAAAATAAGAATTCTAAATTAAGATAATAAAAGATCCCTTAAAATCCGAAAATTTCCTTTTTAAATTTGTGTTTCTTAATTTGAAAGTAATGAAAATGTACATTTTTACCCTTTTTTTAATTAAATGGTATTATTCTATTTTTTTAATTTAATAATAGGGATAAATATCTTTCTTAAAATAACTAAAATGATGGTTGACAATCATTCCTACATCCACACAATAATTAGTTAGAATACAATACCCTAGGCCTATATATATATATATATATATATATATATATATATATATATATATATATATATATATATATATATATATATATATATATTAGTAAGCCCCCCAAGTCTGAAGTTGGAGCAAGTCGATGTCTGGTCCTGCTTCAGACTTATAGTAGCACACATATGCAAACAAACTTCTTCATTTAATTATGTTGGGCGAAATGACACAATGATGCCCTTCGAGTGTTTGTGAATGAGATTGGAGTTGTAATATACTTTGCCTATAACACTTGTGTTCCAGATTGGTTAAGCTTGCTATTTAGCAAGGACCAAAGATGGAGTTTTGGGAAAAACTTTGTGCCACGACGTGGTGCAAGGATGCCCACGACATGGACTGGATTAAATGGAATGCGTGTTTCTAATGAGTGTCATGACATGGCAGTAGGATGGCCACGACGTGGCGATTATTCTTCCTAAGCCCGTAATTTTAGGATTTCCTCCCATATTTAAGCAACATTTCCAAAGGAATAGGGCATCCTCTTCAGCCTCGAAATCCTAGCCAACCTTTGAGAGTTTTGGTTCATTTTGGTATTCTTGGTGTCTTGAAGAAGAAGAAGAAGAGGAAGAATAAGGTGTTTTGGTGCATTGATCCAACTAGAAAACTTCTTCATAGTCATTTTGAGCATATTTCTGGACCCTTGTGACTATTCAAGTTCCAAGCTTTCTAGTTTGTGCTTCTAGATCTAGAGTTTTTGTCCCTTTTCTTCATATTATGAGACTTTGTGTATTTGACATCATACACAAGTTTGAGTTCATTTCTTCCATGGATTTGACCTAGTTTGGGAGGGACATGCATGTCCATAAAGCAATGATCTTTATGATGCTTTTAAAGTATAAAAGTCTTCTGGAAAGTTTGATTTGGGTGGCTTTAGTGATTTAGAGCTTAAAGGATGAGCTCATGTCTTATAATGTCATTAAGAACTTAGGGTTAGAAGTTTTGGCTTATTGGAATGTCTTAAGGGATAAAGTTTGACACTTTATCCATTAAGACCTTGGGATGTACCAGAGCTTTGGAGCTCTTGGAATAGTTGCAAAACAACTTAATGCATTAAGTTGCTGAAACCCAGTTCCCACGATGTGGCATCTAGCCTCCACGATGTGGCGACAGATGAAGAACTCGATTGTTTTGTCATTATGCTGCCACGATGTGGCCAATAAAAGGCCACGACGCAACAATTCGTTGAGATGATTTTTGGTCTATTGACTTTGAGGGTTCACCGTAGATTGTTAACTTGTTGACTTGGGTTGACTTTTGTCCATGATTGTGGGATTTAGTGTGTAAGATAAGGTTCGACCTTGTATGTTTTGATAGGTATGTGGTAACATCGGTTACATGGCTTTGAGCGGTGGTTTATCTGACTTCGTGAGTCAGGTGAGTCTTCTCACTATACTGTGTAGGATGCTAGCTGTCTTTGTGACAGTTGCATTGTGTGTTGGCTTAGCCCCATTAGTATGCATGTTGGGCTGGGCCCATTGATATGTTGGGCTAGGCCAATTTGTATGTTGGGCTGGGCCTATTTATATGTGGGGTTGGGCCCTATGCGCAGGTTGGGCCCGTTGACATGTATGGTATGCGGTATTTTAGGGAATTCACTCGCTCCATCCCCCAGATTTTATTATGCATTAGCTATTTGTGATTTTTACTCTGATGTTTTGTGAATACTACTACTTTTATTACCTTTTGGAACAAATGAATGAATTGTTTGATTTATTAAAAATGAAATTTTTATTTGGTATTTTTAGGATGTTACATTGTCCAAGTTGTAATTATTTCTTAATGATTTTGTATGATCGTGAAGTTCTAGTAAATCAAAGGTGTCGTGCATAACCAATATGTCCCGAAAACTAACGCTGATAGAATTTCCTTAAAAACGGAACCGTCCAATAAGTCCGCCAAGTCTAAAGTAGGAGCGAGTCGATGTCTGGTCCTACTTTGGACATATTATATGCTGAATAATAACACAAATGGTGTATGATCCAAAATGACCCATACTTAGTTGACCCTAGTATGAAAAACATGGCAATGTGTATTTGGTCAAACCCTGGCATAAGAAACATAACGACCTATACTTAGTCGAATCATGGCGTGAAAACCATGGTGGCTTTATTATGTCGAACCATGGCACTGAACCGATGGTGACTCGCTATGCTAATCCATGGTAGCTTTATAGGTTGAACCTTGGCTTCGGCCGATAGTGACACTTAATGATACTGGACCACGGTGATAAATCGTGGTAGCTTTATTATGTCGAACCATGACACTGAGCCAATGGTGACTCACTATACCAAACCATGGTGATGAGCCATGGTAGATTTATAGGTTGAACCATGGCTTCGGGCGATGGTGACACTTAATGATGCCAAACCATGGTGATGAACCATGGTGGATTTATTATGTCGAACCATGGCACTAAGCCGATGGTGACTCGTTATGCCAAACCATGGTGATGAGACATGGTGGCTTTATAGGTTGAACCATTGCTTCGGACGGTGGTGATACTTAATGATGCCAAACCATGGTGATGAACCATGGTGGCTTTATTATGTCGAACCATGGAATTTGAGCCGATCGTGGCTTTATTATGTCGAACCATGGCACTGAGCCGATGATAGCTCGCTATGCCAAACCATGGTGGCTTTATAGTTCGAATCATGGCTTCGGTCGATAGCGACACTTAATGATGCCAAACCATGGTGGCTTTATTATGTCAAACCATGGCACTGAGCTAAGCTGATGGTGACTCGCTATGCTAAACCATGGGGATGAGCCATGGTGGCTTTATAGGTCTAACCATGGCTTCAGCCGATGGTTACACTTAATGATGTCAGACCATGGTGGATTTGGTGTAAACCAATGTATTTGGCCACTAAGAGTTGGATGACTTTGGATCAAACCATAAGAGAGGGTTACGAGAGCTCGATTTATCGTACAATGTAAATTTTAGAATGATAAAATATCACAATAAAACAATAGAGCATATTGTTAATCCATACAAAAGTGCTCTGTTTGTGACGAGTACGTGGTACACTTTGCATTTTATTCTTTTGAATTTGCATTCGTTTATCATAAACGATGTATTAGAAATATATAAATTGTACCTTACAATCCATATGAAATGATGTGGACTTGGTTAAGACTAAAAGACCATATATGTCTGTTTATAGCGAATCTTGTG